CCCCCCATTACGGTCCAGAAACCCAGCCGGTTTTCATGACCCCTCCTGCAATGAGCCCTGAGAACAGGGCTTTCTGGTTCGTACAAATATTCTAAGCCTGAGGACCCTTCATGGCTCAGTTGTTCATACTTAAGTTCCCTCTGCCTCCTTCCAAAGTTATGCTAGTTTCACCTCTCAACAACACTTCCACTCTTTGTCTGCGCTCTCTCTCAAATTCTCCTCCATCCTTCCACTCCGGATACTCTTGAACTTTTGCACACGCTGCCAGTTTGAGCCTGCACGGAATAATCAGTGTATTAATTCCACTCGGAGAGAGTGAGGTTTTTCAAACACAATCTGCGCAACCTGAACTCTTTCCTTCAGAAACACTTTGCCTTTAAAAAGAAACTCCCAGCATGAACCTCATAAGAAGCGACATGTAACAGACAGTGCATGTGGCGCTGGGCATGCAGCTCGGAATTAAAAGAGAATTTTTTACTTTGTTTCTTCAGTGCCATGTGCATAATGTACATGTGGACGAAACTGACATCAGACATTTAAAGCAAAAAAAAAAGGGGGGGTGGGGGAGGGGGATGTGATGGTGGCGGGAAAGAAAGAAAATGTGTTGATAAAAACAGTAACTTCTGGTAGTCTACATTTTTCAGTTACTGTCTTAATTAAGAATGTTAGGAAATATGTTGCAGTTTAATTGCATTGTTTCAAGAAATTCTAATGCTGACAAATTTGGGACCATGTACATTTGGATGGTAAAAGGGATTAAAGTGGTAATTTCTTCCAATTGGGAGATAAAAATCAAAATTATACTTCTCCCCGTGCCCCCCCACCCCTACCTCAGAGCGTACATTAATTAGGCCTACACTTAAGGTGTTCAGCATGAAATAAGCCCTGGTGGGGGGTGGGGCAAAGGAATGTGTTTTTAACCTGGGTCTATGAAATACGAATAATTTTTTAAATTGTTTTAATGTTTACTTATTTTTGAGAAAGACGGATTGAGAGTGGGAGGGGGAGGGAAAGACAAAGAGGGACACAGAATCCAAAGCAGGCTCCAGGCACAGAGCCCAAAGGGCGATTGAACTCACGAACTGTGAGATCATGACCTGAACAGAAGTCGGGTGCTCAACCGACTGAGCCACTCAGGTGCCTCACAAATAATTTTTTTAATATAAAGAATTCACAAAAATGAAATAGTACCTCATCTGAAATTTCTGGGTGACAGTGGTATCCTTGCAGAAAAGATTTATTTATGAAAGAAATTGGTAATGATCTCCAAATGATTCTCAGATGACTTCGTGTCCAACAGTGAAAATCCTCTGCCTCAGCCAGAAGTACATAAAAATGATGACAGTCTGAAGACATGTTCCAATTTCGAGACGCTGTGCTCCCTCCCACTGCAGCCCAGTCCTCTACATTTCATTTCTTGGGCGGGGGGGGGGGGGTTGCAGTTGCATCATTACAGCAAAATAAACTAGCCTGTATGTTCTCTGCTCAAAGTACCTTTGATAGAAGTTGTGGTAGACATGGTGGCTTCCTATTTCCTACTCTTGACCAGAGCTTACTCATTTTTAACCTGAGGGCTCACTTCTTATTCTCTCCCATTCTCTGGGACAGTTGGACTCACTGCCTGTGATCGGGGGGTGGCACCTCAAACCCTAAAGGAGGTGTTGCTGTTCAGTGCTCTGTACTCCCATGGCGTGCAGCACAAACCAGACACCCACCAGAGACTCCCACTGACCCGATTGGCTGCTGGTGTGATAAGTTGGCTGCTGGTGTGATAAGTTGGTCAGATAAATCAACCAGTTCTTTCACTGAATCAGCTACTCATTGCGCCTCCCATGGACCATAATGTGTGATGCATCATGGCACCCAATATATCATGGCGCCCGGGAGTGGGTCACCCATCCCCTTGAGGAGGCAGACCCAACTCACTAGCAGCTAAAGACATTGCACTGTATATGCGGCGGCCCTGAACTGACCACAGAGAAAGATGTTTGCCCCACAAATGCAGCTGAAATGTCTAAAGAGCTTGGCCAAGACTACAGCTCCAGAGATTTGCTGGGGCTGGGAGGTGTCCCTTCTGCCCCAGTCTCTCAAAACAAGAACGGACAGAGAACAGGAGCCCAGATGAAATACTGCCAGCACACTGACAGAATCGCAGTGTCTCAAGTCTTAAACTTACATTTGCCTTTTGTATCGGGGAGTGGAGTCCTGAGGTCTCTCACACTGCTCAGTTAATGGCATGTGGTACCCACAAGACCAAAGTATTCACTGCTGTGGAATTAGTACATTTTTTTTAAGTGGCACACGTGAGATCCAAAATAGTGAAGGGACACATCACTTAGGTGCTCAACACGTGGGATCGCATAAAACTCTGAGCTGACCCACTAAGGGATGAAAGATTTTCCATCTCTCGGGGTTTCTGGGAATTGTGGTGACACAACACCTCCCCAGAAAAGACAGCACCGAGCTGTGCCCGGACCCCTGCGGAGGCCGCGGGAGGGGATGTGTAACAGGACCCGGGCTGGCGTTCACTTCCAGGTTTCACTTCCAGGTCGGAGGGAGAGGAGAGAGTTCGGGCAGCCGTCCAGGTTGGGAGAGCCCGGAGCGAAATTCTAAGTGGAAAAGTTCTGAGTCCATTCTGGGAGTTGGAAGAACACTAAAAGAGGAACAGGCGACACAGTGGGGGCGGGGGGGGTGAGTGGGGGGGGAGAAAAAAGGGAAGCAGTTCCCGCCCGAGGGCCGACTGCCTATCCAGCAGCGGCAAGGCTGTTCCTGGGCTCACAGGACCATTTGTTCCATTACACAATCTCCTGAAGCCATTTAGAGGGAGCTCAAACAACTGCCTGTACCAACACGACACATGGCTTCCCATCCCGACTCTTTGCTAATCCAGACGCTCTAACCATCTTTCTTTAAGATGCCATATGGTTGGCAGAAGCCTGTAGATCTAGCAGCACATCTGCTTGTAAGTTTCTCCTTCCCCTCCATCCCCCTAACAAAAGAGGGATTGGGAGACAGACCGAGCGGGCACGCAGGCGTACCTCTGCCCATATATAGTTCTTTCTTTTGAAGCCTGCTAACTAAACACAACTATTAAAGGGAGGATTGGGAATTACTCGGGGCTCGCTCATTTTTAACTCGGCAACATGGCGATTTATGTGCCCGTCGTGATTTAGAACAAGATTAGAAAAACAAAGGGTGGCTGGTCTCCTTTCTCCAAGAGCACGATTACTTGAAAACCACTTCAAAGCTCTCCCTCTGGGAACCCTCGTGAGGCTTTCTTGCCGCGGGAGAGGGACGGCACCCTTGCCTGAAGCTATTTCTCCTCTTCTTTTTGGTCAAGGAAGACAGACAGGCTGAGAAACTAGCAGATACCCAGAGCCTGCTTTGTTAGCAAGCACGGCGCGGCTGTATGCTAATGAGCCGGCACCGACACACTGCTTTTCCGTATGATGAGCAAAGATTGTTGACGCTGTTGAAATCCTGGCTCTCCTGGCCTGTGAGCCCACGGGCTGCCTCCTTGGAATCTGGCCCCCAGAAAGACAGGCTGCAAAAAAATAATACATTCGACTCTCCTGATGACTGAAATCTGGCCATTTGTAACTTGGAGCGGTGGGGGGGCGGGGGGAAGGGAGCAGGATTGGGGAAATATTCTAAAATGTTTTCTCAGGCCAGGAAGCCAAACTACAGGTGAAAATGATGGGTGTTTTCCAAACTAAAAGTTAAACCTGGTAGACACGTGTGTGTGATGGAGGCCAGGGCGCTGGGCTTCAGGAGCAAAAATCTGAAGGGTGGGGGTGGGGGCAGTTGGTCCTCGCCTCTGTAACATAGGGACAGCTGGGACATTCCCTCCGGACTGGGGCAGAGAGCCCTCTGCAGGTGGGACGGCCCCACCAGCGGCACCTCACGGTCACAGGTGAAAAGCCAAGTTTCTGATCCCCTGGTACGTGTGTTTGCTCCGTGTTGGTTGACCAGGCATCTTTTCCAAGTCCGTGCAAATGAGACAGTAAAAAGGCAAACCAGATATTCCATTGTTGCAAAAGTGGACCCTTTTTTCTTTCCGAAGTCAAAGAAGGGTGGAAAAGGAAGCTCCATCGTTTAAAATGCTGAGCTCATTAAGCGAAATAGCCCTTTACCTGCCTGGAAACTCTAAGACTCGAGTATTATTATTTTGATTTAATAGGTTGTGGAGACTGAGGCTTTGAAAGGGTAAAAAGCAGCAGCAGCAGCAGCAAAACTTCAGTAAAGCTGCAGTGAGGAAATGCCAAACCCCAGGGCACGTGGGTGGCTCAGTGAGTTAAGCATCCAACTTCAGCTCAGGTCATGATTTCATGGTTCCTGGGTTCAAGCCCCGTGTTAAGCTCTGTGCTGACAGCGTGGAGCCTGGGAGCCTGCTTTAGATTCTGTATCTCCCCTTCTCTCTGTCCCTCCCTCGCTTGTGCTCTCTCTCTCTCAAAAATAAACATAAAAATTTAAAACATAAAAAAAAAAAGGAACTGCCAAACCCCAAAGCCGTGTGGATCTCAAGAAGTCGGGTAGGCTCCAGGTGTTCAGGGACAATTCAGCACAGATACGCCCCCTCAGGACATGCCCAGGGGCCAGGCTGGCCACCTGAGCAGACCACTGTCAGCTGCTGAGCAATAACCTAGTTGAAATTAGTATGCCGGTGGGGGCACCAAACTGTAAATTCCATTTACTTATAATCTACAATATGATTAAAAAATTCATGTAACTGAAATGTAAAAACATAAATTCAAAAAAGCACTGAATATTATAATGTAAGTATTGGAATTTAGCCATTCGAAGAGTATGCCCTTCAAATTGTTCCCCTTGGGGACATGGGGACAGCATGTGTTTTCCAACCACGCGGCCACTGCCTAGATCTTGCCGACAGGTTCCTTCTTTCTGAAACCTCCTGCCTAGCCTCAGGCTTCATGGGTGGATACACGTCTAAGTCTGTAACTATGTGTCCAATGCATTTCACCAAAATCATACTCTTCCCCCCAAGGAAAGAGCGAACGCAGTCCCCCACTACCAAAAGTTACGCAGTCAAGCTTCCCACATTTGGTGAAATCGCAAGGGTCAGCACATCCAGAGTGTGATGGATAAGCCTCGCCCTGGGAAAACCACCTTCATGATCATGGACTCTCCCCTGCCAGCTACGTATAAAAATCATACTTTTTAATATAAAATACATGCAGTGTAAGTTATACTACCCAATGATTACTCAGACTAGATGCTGGGAACCTGATCCTGTTATCAACAGGAACAATAAACTGTTATTAACAATTGCTTTGTTACCACTGAGATGCAGCTATGTAGAATGACGACTTCGAATTAAAAAAAAAAATCTAGGTTGAAGTCTGAGAGTGGTCCCAGGCAAATTTTTCTAAGCCTGTTTCATTTCCAATCTAAATGATTCTACTGCCTCCCAGGACTATTTGGAGTTAGAGAGAGCGTGATAAGTGCCTGGCACTTAGAGATCCTCACTAAGTGAAAATACAATCATCATCATCATTATTATTTTTAATAAAGTGCTTCAGGGGTGCCCGGGGGGGTTCCGTCAGGTGAGCGTCGGACTCTTGATTTCGGCTCAGGTCATGAGCCGGAGATGAGATGGTCGAGATGGAGCCCTGTGTCAGGATTCTCTGCTTCGGGCTCTCTCTCCCTCTCTCTCTGCCCCTCCCCTGCTCATGCTGGCTTTCTCTGTCTCTTTCTCTCAAAATAAATAAATAAACATTAAAAAAAAAAAAGGTGCTTCAGAGCATATACACAGTGCTTCACGTCCACATATGAGTTCACCTAACTCTGAAAACAGCCCTGAAAATACGAAGTGCTTCTTCTTTCAAATGAATGAGGCAATTAAGAATCCATAATAACATAGCGAAAGCAATAAGCAGTATGAACTATTATTATTATTATTATTATTATTATTATTAATTGAGACTTTTCTATGTGCAGTTAACTGTGCGAAGGGTTTTTCCAGCCATTTGTAAGTCGTTAATAGCAACCTTTTAAAGAAGGCATTATGGTTACTAATGTGATCCTCATTTTAGAGACAAGAAAGTGAGGCTCAGAGGTGCCCCAACACCTTGCCTTATTTGCATAGTAAGTGGAGAGCTAGAACACAATCCCGGGTCAGTCATCTAACCCCATAACCCTGACAACGGCTATAAAACAGCGAAGACAGGACGGAAATCTGGTGCTCCTTTGTCTACACCACATTGTCCTTGGGTGGAACTTAACTAAAAGCAACTGGACATTTGACAAGGAAGTCTCCTGGCCAAAAAAGAAAAAAAAAGAAAAAATCTTTGTCCTCACCAAATGTCCAGGTATGCTAGTAAATTCTATAGGGTCCGTGGTTCAAGTACCGTGTGTTTATGCGCACTCACACAGAGCCTGAATGCTGGGTGCCCTCTCCAGCGTCGTGAAAAATTAGAGCAGCCTTCTTTAGAAGATGGCAGGACGTGACATATGCATTTGAATGCATCACACACACAAACACACCCCATCAGAGCTGTCATTATCTATTTGGAACCTCACATCACTGAAGTTGTCAGAAATTTCCTATCAAGAGAATAGTCTTTCAATAAAAGTTAACTATCAATAGAAGGCTTCTGAATCAAAATGATCTGCTGTGGACGCTAGGACATTTGGAGGCTGCCGATCAGATGCTGACGTGAAGCAAAGGGAGCTCAGGGCTCGTATGTGACTAAGCAGATAGCTCTCCCCACACAAAGCCCCGGGCTGTCCCCAAGACTCTCCCCTGGCTTCTGGGCAGTGGCACTCAGGGGCTGTAATCTGGGGTGGGTTTTTCTCGAGCCTCTGCTCTCTCCCTCCTCGCATCCCCCTCATCTGAGTAGACCTGGACTGACTTCCAAAATCACTGGGTCCCCGTCATGTCCAGGTTCCTAATTTCACCGCTGACTCCAACCCAGGTCAGAACAGAATAGGATTTTAACCAACCAACCAAACAAACAAACAAACAACCAAACAAATACCTTTGCTATCACTTTACTGCTTCCAAATTCATTAATCTTTGGTCACATTTCCGGTCAACAGTCAAAAGCAGTTTCCAGGAGGGTCTGAATGTAATAGACTGTGAACGGAGACATGTTACTTGGAATTTAGTATCGTATAAGCACAAAGGGCCCCACGCTTTCAAACTTAAAGGAGAGGAGTCTCAAAGGCCCCTCCAGAGTATTCTGGAATGCATCGTTAGGGGACAGCACTTCTGATCTGTCAGGGGTGGAGATCTGAATATTGACTGTCCCCACGAGAGTGCTCCCCAGAGGCAGACATTGTGAATGGTTTTGTCCTTCATTAGTTTCAAGGGCTGCAGTAGTCCTGGGTTATAGCATGAGAACAAAAATCCTGTTTCATTCTAACTTTGCTAAAGGTGTAGGGAAGACCTATTTAATGTTCACCTCCTGGAGCATAGGATGACCTCCGATGACAGTCTGTGCATGCTGTTCCCTGTGCTGAGCGCTTTGGCAATGCACACAGCTAACATTTATTGAGTACTTACTGTGTGCCAGGCGCTGCTCTGAACATTCATGTAATAATTCACGCAATCCTCTTAAGAACCCCATGAAATACATAACACAACTGTCATAATTTTATAGATGGAGATATTTAGGCCCACATTAAGTAGCTTGTCCCAAATCACGCAGCCCAGAAGTGGGCAGAGTGGGTATTTGAAGACGCACCACCTGGGTTCAGAAGGCACACTCTTAACTACCCTTCCCTGTGACGACTCTCTGAGACATTAAGTAGGAAAGGGTGTGATCCTCAGCCGACCAGTCATGGGAGTTTGGTGACATTCAGCCTCTCTCTACCCCAAACGTCTTCAAAGCAAAATGTAATTTTTTCCACACATGTCCTGCCTGTCCATCTCATAAGATCCTTAGGAGACTTCATTTTATATTTGTGTTCTCACTCCCATGATTCTCTGCTTTCTTTTTCCCATGAGCAAAGGTCTAGTGTAGGCCCATTGGGTGTAACCTCTTTGAGGGGAGGGTCAGTATCCAATACATTTCAGTAGACCCCATGGCAAGAGCTCACATTTGGTTATCTTCAACACAGCCTCAGAAATTGCCTCTTTGGATGCCAGTAGGGGCCCCTTTTGCTTTCCAATGGAAGAAGAGGGCATAGGTTTGTGCATCCTGCATTTGGCGTTTAAATGTCTTTTCCAAATGGTCTCAGATGAAATGAAAAGGCAGTGAAATCAGCCAGCCCCAGTGAGATATACAGGGACGGTCTGACCAGAAATAAACTAGGGAAAATCAAGTGGTAGCTTCTCTTCTGGAAGCCCCCAAGGTCAGCTGTGTCATCGGCTCAGAGTGCTCAGGGATTTTAAAGACACTGCCACAACGGAGTGAACACAGCTTTCGTGATGGAAGGGAGACAAGATTAGATATAAAACAGAAATACTGCCATTCCAGAGAGAGAAAATTGTTAATACAAATGAACAGCTGTTTGGGAAGAAAACATTATTTCCCCAAACCCAGACAAAGCTCTATTTATTACATTTCAGAGACACTTAAATTATAGTGTCTGAAAGCTATCCTATCGTGGGTTTATCTGTGACACCTAAATTATCCCCAAATCTGAAAGGTTAGGCCAAAATAAAGGCTTTACTGTGAGAAAGACTTCTAGAGAGAAAGTTCCTCTTTTTCCTCAAAGGAGCAGGTGAATAAATTCACTGTGTAGCATAGCCAAATGAGTACTAAATTCCAGCACTAAACTTTCTGGAAATGCAATGGAATATTAAATGCAAAATTCATTCCAAGATGCTAATGTATGCTATTTAAAAATCTAAATGCATAGTTCCCTGTTTCCATTGGTCTGTTTATATTCTTGTGTTCACATGGGTTCTCGACTGCACCCAGCTCCGGGCCTACCCCAAGGGCTCCCCAGAAGTCGTGGAATGTTTTCTGTGCTCGCTGTGGGGGCCTAGTCCTGTTCTGGAAGATGCTGGACATGGTATCAGCCCCTGACCCTCCCAGAGGAGACCAGGGCTCACTAACACCTTTCTCACTGACTAGCATGTGTCTGGCCGCCTCAAGGAATTTCTGGGAAGTAGACTGTCACACTCTGGTAAAATAATAAATACAAATTCATTCATTCACTCATTCATTCATTCATTCACTCATTTTGGCTAAGGGGGAAAAAAAGAAGAAAATCCTATTTGGTGGGGTCTAGGGAAGTTACACGATGGACCAAGTGACCAGATTAGGGGTCCACGGTGGCCTTGACTCAGTCCTTTTCACTCATCCCTCCAGTCAATTCAAATACAGCACAGGCTTTAGGCTCGACAGGAAACACAACCAAAACAACACCATAAAGAAGTCCACTAAAATCCGTAATCAGCTGTGATGCTTCCTCACCATGTGGTGACCTGACCGTGAACGCCACGGGGCCACCCAGGAGTCTCTATCACCTGACCTGAGACACGTGCTTCCCTCCTCTCATCGGCGCTGGGATCCGCTCTACCTTACTTCTGACACACCTCGTGGGGTGCAGTGTGGCTTCGTAAGTTAGTGAAGGCTTGAGAGTTTTCTAGGGAAAGGTGTTATGGTGTTATGTAAATACACAGTATTATTTTGTCTTTATTCCAGCATTACTGGTTTGAAATAGTTCAGTGTGTGTAAATATGTTTAATAATGTGTATTAATTAGATTTGTTTTCTTTTCTTTTTTTTTTTTTTGAAACTCCCTGGCATCTCAGCTAACTAAGTGGTAGTAGGCTTACTGGTGCAGGGAACGGCTAAGGACAGTCTCCGACAGCCATCCATTGGTCTCTGTCCCATTCAGATAAAATCCTAGCTAGGTGAACCTACTCATGGGTGTCGTCATTTACTTGAGCACAAGACAGAATCGCTAGGTGGTGACCCTCTCGTAAGAGGCAGACTCAAACGTTAAAGTTCACAGCACGCGACTAGCCCATCCCAGAGAATGGGACGAAGTAGGCACGCTCCCTGTAAGCAGTTGGTATGATGGAAAAGCCTAAGGGTGCAATGTTGGGGAAAAAAAAACAACCTTTTTTTTAAGTACCAGTAATACCACCACATGCTTTATACTGAAGTTTCCAAAAATAAATATTATTCTGAAGATCAAGTGTCAATCGGGGCCAGGTTAACCATTGACAGCCACTTCTGTTCCCCTC